CGCCGACATATCGGCGCCGGTCGACCTGACCGAGCAACTGGGCGGGGAGACCTATCTCTTCTGCACGCCGGAGGGACTGCCGCAGATCACGGTGCACCAGCTTGGCCAGTTCCCGGTCGGCCGCGGCGAGATGGTGCATCTGCGTTTCCGACGCGAGGTGCTGCATGTCTTCGATGCCGAGGGCAAGGTGATCGTCAACGGCATCGACGCAGATGGTGGAGCGGCCGGATGACATCGACCAAGTTTGGTGTCGGCGTAATCGGCACGGGCATGGCGGCCAAGCCGCATGCGCTGGCGCTGAAAAGCCTTGAGGATCGCGTCACCGTGCGCGGCGTCTATTCGCGCACCGAGGAAAAGCGCGCCGCCTTTTGCGCCGAATATGGCTTTGCCGAAGCGGAATCGATCGACGCGCTGGCGGACGATCCGGAGGTGAAGGCGGTCATCGTCATCACGCCGCCCAACCAGCGCACCGAGCTGGTCGAACGGTTCGCCACAGCCGGCAAGCATATCCTGATGGAAAAACCGGTCGAGCGGACAAGCGAAGCGGCGCGGGCCATCGTTCAAACCTGCGAAACCGCCGGCGTCGAACTCGGCATCGTCTTCCAGCACCGATTCCGGCAAGCCTCGCAAGTGCTTGCAAAGCTTGTCGCTTCCGGCGATCTGGGCGCGATCGGCCTGGCGCGGGCCAATGTGCCCTGGTGGCGGGATCAGAGCTATTACGACGAGCCGGGCCGCGGCACCTATGCGCGCGACGGCGGCGGAGTTCTCATCTCCCAGGCGATCCACACGCTGGACCTGATGCTGTCGATCGCCGGGCCGGTTTCGGACGTGCAGGCGGTGGCCGGCACGACGCCGTTCCACCGGATGGAGGCGGAGGATTTCGTCGCCGGCGGAATGCGCTTTGAGAGCGGCGCGATGGGCTCGGTCATGGCGACGGTAGCCGCCTTTCCGGGCGAGGCCGAGTCCATCACGCTCGACTGCGAAAAGGGCTCGGCGCATCTGCAGTCGGGGACGCTGACGGTCCAATGGCGTGACGGGCGTACCGAGACGTTCGGCGAGGCGGCCGGCGGCACCGGCGGCGGCGCAGACCCGATGGCGTTTCCGTTCGACTGGCACCGCGACCTGATTTTGGACTTTGCCGATGCGGTCGAAGCGGGACGGGCGCCGTCCGTGACCGGGCGCGAGGCGCTGAAAGTGCATGATCTGATCGATGCGCTCGTCACTTCGTCGCGCGAGGGGCGCGCAATCACAATCCGGAACGGGGACTGATCCATGTCGTCTTTGACGGTGGGGGTGATCGGCATCGATCACCGGCATATTTTCGGCCAGTTGCAGGGCATGCTGGATGTCGGGGCCACCTGCAAGGGCTGGTGGACCGAGGGCGATCCGCAGCCGGTCGAGGGCTTCGTCAAGCGCTTCCCCGATGTGCCGCGGGTCGCCGACCGGCGGACGCTGCTGGACGATCCGGAGATCGACCTGATCCTTCTGGCCGACATTCCCGTGCGCCGCGCCGACCGTGCCATCGAGGCGATGCGCGCGGGCAAGGATGTGATGACCGACAAGCCGGGCTGCACGACGCTCGACCAACTGGCGGCGATCAAACAGGCCGTCGCCGAAACCGGCCGCATCTGGTCGATCGATTTTTCCGAGCGGTTCGAGGTTCCGGCCAACCAGAAGGCGGCCGAGCTGGTCGCCGATGGCGCAATCGGTCAGGTGATCCAGACCGTCGGGCTCGGTCCGCACCGGCTGAACCGCCCCACGCGGCCGGACTGGTTCTTCGATGAAGCCGCCTATGGCGGCATCTTGTGCGATATTGCCAGCCACCAGATCGACCAGTTCCTGTTCTTCACCGGCTCCGACGATGCGGAGATCGTCGCATCCTCTGTCGGAAACTTCGCCCATCCGGACGATCCGGGCCTGCAGGATTTCGGCGAGGTGCTGCTGCGCTCGGACAGGGGCAACGGCTACATCCGCGTCGATTGGTACACGCCCGATGCGCTGCCGACCTGGGGCGACGGGCGGCTGACGATCCTGGGCACCGAAGGCACGATCGAGATGCGCAAATATGTCGATGTCTGCGGGCGCGACGGCACCGACCACGTCTTCCTGGTCAATGGCGAGCGGTGCGACTATTTCGACGCGTCGGACGAGAAGCTGACCTATTTCGGGCGCCTTGCCGCCGATGTGCGCGACCGCACCGAGACGGCGATGAGCCAGACACACTGCTTCAAGGTGATGGAGCTGGCCCTGAAAGCCCAGGCGCAGGCGGTGCGCCTGGGCCATCTGAGGGTCTGATCATGCCGCACGTGGCGATATTGGGCGCCGGCATCGGCGCGCAGCACATGGACGGTTATCGTGCGCTGCCCGATCGCTGGAAGGTGATGGCAGTCTGCGATCTCGACCCGGACAAGGCCGATGCCGTGGCGGCGAAGTCGCCCGATTGCAGCGTGACCGCCGATATCGACGAGGTGCTCGCCGACCCGGATATCGATGTGATCGACATCTGTCTGCCGCCGCATCTGCACGCGCCGGTCGCCATAGCCGCGCTCGAGGCGGGCAAGCATGTCATCTGCGAAAAGCCGCTGGCGGGATCGGTCCGCGATGCCGACCGGATGGCGGCGGCGGCCGACAAGGCCGGTCGCATGCTGGCGCCGGTGTTCCAGTACCGCTATGGGCGCGGCCTTTATCAGCTTGCCGAGCTGCAAAGGCGGGGCCTGACCGGCAGGCCTCTGGTGGCGACGCTTGAAACACACTGGAACCGCGGCGCGGACTATTATGCGGTTCCATGGCGCGGCCGGTGGCGCAGCGAGGGCGGCGGCGCGGTGCTCGGCCACGCCATCCATGCGCACGATCTGATCGCGCGCTTTGTCGGGCCGGTCACCGAAGTGACGGCGATGGTGGACACGCGCGTCAACCCGATCGAGACGGAGGATTGCGCGGCGCTCGCCATGCGCTGCGAAACAGGTGCGCTCGTCACGTCGTCGGTCACCCTGGGCGGGGCGCGCGACACATCGCGCCTGCGCTTCGTCTTCGAGACGCTGACCGCCGAAAGCGGGCGCAACCCCTATGCGCCGGGCGCCGACGACTGGACGTTCGAGGCGCGCGCGCCGCTCGGCCAGTCCGCGCTGGACGATGTCTTGTCGGAGGCGGCGGCCGGCATCGATGCCCGTCCGGTCGGCTATGCCGGCCAGTTCGCGGCGATTGCCGATCATCTGGACAGCCGTGCGGCAGATATGGTGACGGGGCAGGAAGGTGTGCGCTCGATCGAGTTCGTCGCCGCGGTCTACAAGTCGGCACGGGCCGGCCAAACCGTCCGCCTGCCGCTTGACCGCGCCGACCCGATCTGTAGGGACTGGGCACCCGAACCGCCAAAGGGAGACTAGGCCGGTGCAATTTGCCCAGATCAATGGCGTGACGCTTCACTATCAGGTCATCGGTGCGGCCGAGGGCAAGCCGACGCTGGTCTTCGCCAACTCGCTGGGCACCGATTTCCGCATTTGGCGCGATGTCGTGGTACGGCTCGTCGGCGAATTCGGTCTCGTCCTCTACGACAAGCGCGGCCATGGCCTGTCGGATGCGCCGCCGGCGCCTTACGCCATGGACGATCACGTCGCCGATCTGGCGGGGCTGCTCGATCATCTCGCGGTCAAGAAGGCGACGGTCTGCGGCTTGTCGGTGGGCGGGATGATCGCGCTGGGACTGTTCAAGGCGCGGCCCGATCTTGTCCGCTCGCTGATCCTGTGCGACACCGCGCCCAAGATCGGCACCGAAAAGCTCTGGAACGACCGGATCGAGACGGTGCGCGACAAGGGACTTGCGGCGCTGGCCGATCCGGTGATGGAGCGCTGGTTCACACCCGCCTTCCGGCGGCCGGACAATGCCGAATATCTCGGCTACCGCAACATGCTCGTCCGCCAGCCGGTCGAGGGCTATGCCGGCACCTGCGCGGCGATCCGCGATGCCGACTACACCGACATCGCCAGGACGTTGACGGTGCCGGCCTCATGCGTGGTCGGGGATCAGGACGGCTCGACGCCGCCCGCGCTGGTCGCCGAAATGGCCAAGATGATCCCGGACGCACGGTACGACGAACTCAAGGATTGCGGGCACATCCCCTGCGTCGAGCAGCCGGTGGCGCTTGCCGACATCATTCGCGCCTTTGCCGCCGCGCCGTCGGACGCCGGTTGACCGGATTGCAGGCAGCGGCCTGCGGGCGCTTCGGGACGGCGTACCGCAATTCCCAACTGGCTCTTGCAAATGCCTCGCAACTGGACAAGACTCGGGCCATGATCGAATCCAGCCAGATGAGTGCGCGCGAACTGGAACATGCGTTGCGGGACGCCGGCGTGCGGATCACGCGCCAGCGCAGCGCCATTTTGCGCATTCTCGCCGAAGCCGACGACCATCCCGATGCCAACGAGCTCTACAGCCGCGCCAGTGCGCTCGAGCCGACCGTGTCGCTGTCGACCGTTTACAGGACGCTCAGCATCCTTGAGGAAAAGGGCGTGGTGCACCGGCTCACCTTCGAGGGAGCACCGGCGCGTTTCGAGACCGCCGATGCGCCGCATCACGACCACATGATCGACATTGAAACCGGCGACGTGATCGAGTTCCGATCCGACAAGATCGAGAAGCTGCAGGCAGAGATCGCCGCCGAGCTCGGCTACGACATCGTCTATCACAAGCTCGAGCTCTATGGCCGCCGAAAGGCGCGCAACCAGGCAGGGAGGCTTGGAGCCTAGTCCTTCGGCTCGGGATCGCGCGGGTTGAAGGTGATGAACAGCCCGTAGAAGGACAGGGCGCCAATGCCGACGAAAAGTGTGCCCCAGAAATGGTTGCCCATCAGGAATTCGAAGATTCCCCACGATGCCGTGACGCCGACCGTGGCGATGCGGCGCCACAACGGGCGGAAAAAGGGGTGATCGAAATCGAAGAACTTCATCGGCGCGCCTTGGTCCCTTTGAACCCATCTGGCTGGCCGCGGCGCCAAATGCAAGCCGTCAGCGCTGGCTCGTCTGCCAGTGGGGGTGAATCCATGGTTCGGCATTGGAGGGCGCAAGCGGCGTCTTGCCCAGAATGTGGTCCGATGCCTTTTCGCCGGTCATGATCGATGGCGCGTTGAGATTGCCGTTCGGAATGGTCGGGAAAATCGAGGAATCGGCGAGGCGCAGCCCGTCGACGCCGATCACCCGGCATTCGGGATCGACCACCGCCAGCGGATCGTCGGCGCGGCCCATCCGGGCGGTGCCGCAGGGGTGATAGGCGCTTTCGGCATGCTCGCGGATGAAACCGTCGAGCTCGTCGTCGCTCTGCACCGCGGCGCCGGGCTGGATCTCGTGCCGGACGAAGGGCGTGAACGCATCCTGGGCGAAGATCTCGCGCGTCAGGCGGATGCAGGTGCGGAAGTCGGCCCAGTCCTCGGACTTCGACATGTAGTTGAAGACGATCTTCGGCGCGTCGCGGGGGTCGGCGGAGCGCAGGGTGACCGCGCCGCGTGACGCCGACCGCATGGGGCCAACATGGGCCTGAAAGCCGTGCCCTTCGGCGGCGGCCTGTCCGTCATAGCGCACCGCGATCGGCAGGAAATGATACTGGATGTCGGGATATTTGACGCCGGCCTTGGAGCGGATGAAGGCGGCGCTCTCGAACTGGTTGGACGCGCCGGGGCCGCTTCGCGTGAACAGCCATTGCGCGCCGACCCAGGCTTTTCCGACAAGGTTCCAATATCTGTAAAGCGTCACAGGCTGGCTGGCGGCCATCTGGATGTAGAGTTCGAGATGGTCCTGCAGGTTTCGGCCGACGCCCGGCCGGTTGGCGATGACCTCTATGCCAAGTTTCATCAGGTCCGATGCCGGCCCGATGCCCGACAGCATCAGAAGCTTGGGCGAATTGATCGAAGAGGCCGCAACGATCACCTCGCGATTGGCGCGCACCGTTTCGATTGTGCCGCCGCGCTCGATCTCGACGCCGGTGGCGCGGCCATCCTCGATGACGATCCTGCGGGCGAGGGCGCGCACGATGGTGCAGTTTTTCCGCTTCAGCGCCGGCTTCAGATAGGCGTTGGCAGCCGACCAGCGCCGTCCGTTGAACACCGTCTGCTCCATCGGGCCGAAGCCTTCCTGCTTCTCGCCGTTATAGTCGCCGGTGACCTGGTAGCCGGCCTGCCGTCCGGCTTCGACGAAGGCGGCGAAAAGCGGGTTGTCGCGCTTGCCGCGCGTGACATGCAATGGTCCGCCGGTGCCGCGCCAGTCCGGATCGCCGCCATGGCCGCCCGAATCCCAGCTTTCCATGCGCTTGTAATAGGGCAGCACATCCGCATAGGCCCAGCCGGTGGCGCCCAGCTCCGCCCAGCGGTCGAAGTCGCAGGCGTGGCCGCGCACATAGACCATGCCGTTGATCGAGGACGAGCCGCCGATCACCTTGCCGCGCGGCGTGGCCAGCCGCCGTCCGCCGAGATGCGGTTCAGGCTCGGACCGGTAGCCCCAATCGTACATCTTCATGTTCATCGGGTAGGACAGCGCGGCCGGCATCTGGATCAGAGGACCGGCATCGGTTCCGCCATATTCGATGACGAGCACCGTGTGACAGCCGTCCTCGGACAGGCGGTAGGCCATGGCCGAGCCGGCTGAGCCGGCGCCGATGATGACGAAATCTGCTTGCAATTCAGCGCCTTGATCGATGTTTCATCACAGATTGAATCGGCTCGTTGATAAAGCGATTCAGCGGGTCAATAGGGTGCCTCGACCGGGCCGAGCCCGACATAGACGGTCTTGAGCTGGCTGTAGTGTTCGATGGCCGCATGGCCGTTCTCACGGCCGACGCCGGATTGCTTGACGCCGCCGAACGGCGCTTCCACCGGCGTCAGATTGTAGGCGTTAATGAAGCAGGCGCCGGCCTGAAGCTGCGCGATCACACGGTGCGCCCGGGCGAGATCGCGGGTGAAGACGCCGGCGGCCAGACCGAATTCGGTGGCGTTGGCGCGGGCGACGGCTTCGTCCTCGTCGTCAAAGGCGAGGACCGACAGGACGGGGCCGAAGATCTCCTCGCGCGCGATCGTCATCCGGTCGGTGACGCCGGTGAAGATGGTCGGCTCCATATAGAAGCCCGGTCGGTCGATTCGGTTGCCGCCGGCAACGATCTCCGCGCCTTCTGCGCGGCCAATATCGACATAACCAAGCACCTTGTCGAGTTGCGCTTCGGAAACCAGAGGGCCGAAACTGGTCGCCTCATCCAGCGGATCGCCGATCACCGCGCCCCTGGTGCGTTCGACCAGCCGTTCGACGAAGCGGTCGTGCAGGCCGCGCTGGACGAAGACGCGCGTGCCGTTCGAGCAGATTTGGCCGGAGGAATAGAAGTTGCCGAGGATCGCGCCACCGACCGCGTCCTCGATGTCGGCATCGTCGAAGACCAGGATCGGCGACTTGCCGCCAAGCTCCATCGTCACATGCTTCATGTGCCCGGCGGCGGCCGAATAGACCTTCTGGCCGGTGGGCACCGAGCCGGTCAGTGAGACCTTGGCGACGCGCGGGTCGGTGGCCAGCGCCGCGCCGACATCGCCATAGCCCTGGACGACGTTGAACAGACCCGGAGGCGCGCCGGCCTCGATCAGGATCTGGGCGATCTTCAGCGTGCAAAGCGGCGTGACTTCGGACGGTTTGAAGACCATTGCGTTGCCGCAGGCAAGCGCTGGCGCCGCCTTCCAGCAGGCGATCTGCGTGGGATAGTTCCACGCGCCGATGCCGGCGCACACGCCCAGAGGTTCGCGCACCGCATAGACGAAATCGCCGCCGAGCGGGATGTGCTCGCCGGTCAGAGTGGCGGCGAGATTGCCGAAATATTCCAGCGCATCGGCGCCGGACGAGGCATCGGCGACCAGCGTTTCCGACAGCGGCTTGCCGGTGTCGAGCGTTTCGAGTTCGGACAGGTCCCGGTTGCGCGCACGGATGATGTCGGCGGCGCGGCGCAGCACGCGCCCGCGTTCGGCGCCTGTCCGGCCAGCCCATTCGGCTTGGGCCGAAGCGGCGGTCTCCAGCGCGCGATCGACGATCGCCGGCGTTGCGCTGCGGACCGTGGCGATCGTTTCGCCCGTTGCCGGATAGATCACGTCGATGGCCGCGCCGGCCTCGTCTTCGATGTAGGCGCCGCCGACGAAGTGGCTGGCCTCGGGCTTCGCTGCGATGTTGGCGATGGTCATGCGTTGGTCTTTCTGCCGATCCAGGTCTCGGCGGCGTCGAGCACCAGGCGCGTCGCCGAGCGGTTGTCCATGGCGCGGTCGCGCAGCGCCTGGCGCAGATAGACCCCGTCGATCAGTGCGGCGATGCGGAGCGCGATCACCGGAGCGGCATCGTCCACAAGGGGCCGCAGTTCGTGTACCAGGTTGGACAGGAGGCGCTTCTGGTAGACCGCGAGCAGCCGCCGCGCGGGTTCCGAGGTCTGCGCGAGCACATAGAAGTTGAGCCACGCTGCGATGATCTCGTCATCGAACTGGTGCACGCAAAAGCTCGCTTCGACCAGCGCTTCGAGCCGCTCGCGCGGGCCTTTGGCCTGCTTCAGCGCGGCGCGTACATCGTGCCCGTAGACGGTCAGGACATGGCGCATGGCGGCCAGGAAGATCTGGTCCTTGTTGCCGAAATAATGATGCGCCAGGGCCGAGGACATGCCGGCGCGCTTGGCGATCTGGGCCACGGTGACATCCAGCGATCCGGCACGTCCGATTTCGGCGATGGTTGCGTTGACCAGCGCATCGCGGCGTATCGGCTCCATTCCGACCTTTGGCATGGCGAATTCCCGGTGGGGCTTGTCTTTTCGGCGTAAACAAAGTTAATTGACTCGTCAATCAACAAAAACCGCAACGATCCGTCAAACCAAACCCGGGAGGCCCACATGAAATTCAAGACGATGTTCGCCGCGCTCGCTTTGTCGACCGCGATGGGCTCACAGGCCCATGCCCAATGCGAGGCCGTGACCTTCTCCGATGTCGGCTGGACCGACATCACCGCCACCACCGCCGTTGCAACCGTCGTGCTCGAGGCGCTGGGCTACGAGACCGACATCAAGGTGCTGTCGGTGCCGGTGACCTACACATCGCTCGCGCAGGGCGATGTCGACGTGTTCCTGGGCAACTGGATGCCGACCATGGAAGCCGACATCGCGCCCTATCGCGAGGCAGGCACGGTCGACACGGTGCGCACCAATCTGGAAGGTGCCAAGTACACGCTGGCGACCAATGCGGCCGGCGCGGCGCTCGGCATCGCCGATTTCGCCGACATCGCTACACAGGCGGAAGCGCTCGATTCGACCATTTACGGCATCGAGCCGGGCAATGACGGCAACCGTCTGATCCTCGACATGATCGAGGGCGATGCGTTCGGCCTGTCGGACTTTGAAGTGGCCGAAAGCTCGGAACAGGGCATGCTCGCGCAGGTCGAACGGGCGTCGCGTCGCGACGAGCCGATCGTGTTCCTGGGTTGGGAACCGCACCCGATGAACGCCAATTTCGAGCTGACCTATCTGACCGGCGGCGACGATTTCTTCGGGCCCAATCTGGGCGGCGCAACGGTGATGACCAACACACGCGCCGGTTATGTGGACGAATGCCCCAATGTCGGCACGTTCCTCAAAAATCTCGAATTCACGCTGGCCATGGAAAACGAGATCATGGGCGCCATCCTCAACGATGGCGAGGACCCGGCCGATGCGGCCACGGCCTGGCTTACCGCCAATCCCGACACGCTGGGCCCGTGGCTCGACGGCGTGACGACGCTGGACGGCGGCGACGCGATGGAAGCCGTCAAGTCCGCTCTCGGCATGTAACGGCCACCCGGAGCCTCCCCTTTCGGGAGGCTCCTTTCTCTGTGCCGGCGGTCATCGCCAGCTGCAATAGCGCAACTCGCGAACAGGTTTTCCATGGATTGGCTGACCGACAACAAAATCCCCGTTGGCGATGCGGCCGGCGCCTTCTTCGATTGGCTGCAGGACAATGGCGCCTTCTTCTTTGACGGCCTGTCCGATGCGATGGACGTCCTGATCGAAGCGATCCTGTGGGTGCTGCAGACACCCCATCCCCTGATCGTCGTCGCCGCCTTCGTCGCGCTGACATGGGCGTTGCAGCGGCGCTGGTCGGTCTGCGCGCTGGTCGGGTTCGGCTTTCTGTTCATCCTCAACCAGGGGTATTGGGAAGAGACCACCGAAAGCCTGACGCTGGTCCTGTCGGCTTGTCTCGTCTGTATGGCGATCGGCGTGCCGATCGGCATTGCGGCAGCCCACAGGCCGCGCCTTTACGCCTATATGCGGCCGGTGCTCGATCTGATGCAGACGCTGCCGACCTTCGTCTATCTCATTCCGGCGATCGTCTTTTTCGGGATCGGCATGGTGCCGGGCCTGATCGCGACGGTGATCTTCGTCTTGCCCGCGCCGATCCGGCTGACCCATCTGGGTGTTTCCTCGACGCCGATGCCGCTGCTCGAAGCGGCGCGCGCGTTCGGTGCGACGCCCCGGCAGACCTTGTGGAAGGTGGAGCTGCCCTATGCGGTTCCGCAGATCATGGCCGGTCTGAACCAGACGATCATGCTGTCGCTCTCCATGGTGGTGATCGCCGCTCTGGTCGGCGCCGACGGGCTCGGCGTTCCGGTTGTGCGGGCGCTCAACCGGGTCGACACCGCGCTCGGCTTCGAGAGCGGCTTCATCATCGTCGTGGTTGCGATCATGCTGGACCGCATGCTGCGCATCGAGGCGCGCAAATGAGTGTCGCGGTTGCGTTCGACGCGGTGAACATCGTCTTCGGGGACCGCCCGCAGGAGGCGCTGCCGCTGATGGATGAAGGCCGCACACGCGGCGATATCCAGGCCGAGACCGGGCAGGTGCTCGGCGTTCACGATTGCTCGCTCGAAGTGGGCGAGGGCGAGATCGTCGTGCTGATGGGCCTTTCGGGGTCCGGCAAGTCGACGCTGCTTCGCGCCGTCAACGGGCTCAATCCGGTGGTGCGCGGCGCGGTGCGCGTCAATGATGGCGACCGGATGGTCGATGTCTCGTCAGCGGACGCGGCCACCTTGCGCCGTATCCGGCTCGAGCGCGTCGCCATGGTGTTCCAGCAGTTCGGGCTTTTGCCGTGGCGTACCGTGCGCGACAATGTCGGGCTGGGGCTGGAACTGGCCGGCCTCGAAAAGGCCGAGCGCAACAGGCAGGTCGACGACCAGTTGGCGCTGGTGGGCCTCGATGGCTGGGCCGACCGCAAGGTGGGGGAACTGTCGGGCGGCATGCAGCAGCGCGTCGGTCTGGCGCGCGCCTTTGCGACAAACGCGCCGATCCTTCTGATGGACGAGCCGTTCTCGGCGCTCGATCCGCTGATCCGCACGCGGCTTCAGGACGAACTGATCGACCTGCAGGGCAAGCTGAAGCGAACGATCATCTTCGTCAGTCACGATCTGGACGAGGCGTTCAAGCTCGGCGACCGGATCGCCATCATGGAAGGCGGGCGGATCGTCCAGTGCGGCACGCCGCAGCAGATCTTCTCCGACCCGGTCAACGATTATGTCGCCGACTTTGTCGCCCACATGAACCCGCTGGGCGTCCTGTGCGCCCGCGACATTATGGGGCCGCCAGGGGAGGGTGCGACCGACACGGTCGGCGCCGACATGAGCGTGCGCGACGTGATGGAAAAGCTCCGCGCGGTCGAGGCGGTTGCGGTTACCGACGGGGACGAAGTCGTCGGCCGGATCAGCCGCGCCGACGTGATGGCCAAACTCCTCGATCCGCGCGGCTGACCGCCGCCGGAGCGGCTTGAGGACGATCCTCTCCACCGCTCTGAACAAAAGACACCTTTGTTGACAATTGTCTATCAATGCCTAGTGTCACCGCGAACAAGGAGGTGACGGTCGTGCGGATTCGACGATCAGACGGGCAGGGGGCGACGGGCGGACACGAGCATGTTCGGCAAGCCGGAATGCGAGGCACAGGCCGGTCCGGCATCCGGACAAAGGCCGGCCGCACGTGAGCGCCGGCACGATGGAGCGATTCCGGGTCGTCTACCGCATCTTCGCCGACAGTGCCGCAGAAGCCATGCGGCGCGCCCATGACGTGGCGCTTGAGCAGACGGTCGAAGTCCCTGCCGATGTCGTGCCGCAAGGGTTCATTGCCGATAAGATCGTCGGCAAGGTCGGCCGTGCGGAGATGGGAGAGCGTGGTGTCTTCGATGTGGCGATCTCCTATTCGCCCGACAGTGTCGGCGCAGAACTCTGTCAGTTGCTCAATGTCATCTTCGGCAACTCATCCATTCAGCAGGGCGTGAAGGTGGTCGGGTTCGAGCCGGGCGCGACGATCGCCGAGCGCTTTGCCGGTCCACGCTTTGGTATCGAGGGTGTCAGGGCGCGCGCGAACCGGCCGAAGGGCGGGCTCATCTCGCCGGTCATCAAGCCGCAGGGCTCATCGCCCGAAACGCTGGCCGAGATCGCCTTCCGCTGCGTGGCCGGCGGTGCCGACATCATCAAGGACGATCACGGCCTCGCCGACCAGCCGATGGCCCCGTTCGAGGAACGCACCGAAAAGGTCGCAGCGGCGGTCGCCAGGGCCAATGCCGAGTTCGGCATGTCGGCGCTGCATTTCGCCAACATCACCGGCCGGCCGGACGAGCTTGTCGAACGTGCCTTCTTCGCCAAGAGGGCCGGAGCAGGCGGCGTCTTGCTGATGCCGGGTCTCCTGGGCTTCGAGATCGTCCAGCAGCTTGCGGCGGACCCGGCATTCGGCCTGCCGATCATGACGCATCCGAGCTTCACCGGTCCGTTCGTCCTGTCGCCGGAAACCGGCTTCACCCATGCGATGATGTATGGCGTGCTGCAGCGCCTTGCCGGCTCGGACATCTCCGTCTTTCCCAATGTCGGCGGGCGGTTCGGCTTTTCGGCGGAAGAATGCGTCGCGATCGCCGATGCATGCCGCGATCCCGCCGGCATCGGCAAGCCGATCTTTCCAAGCCCCGGCGGCGGCATGAGCGTCGACCGGGCGGCGGACATGGCGGCCATGTATGGCGATGACGTCGTCTATCTGATCGGGGGCAGCCTGCTGCGCCATGGCGACAGGATCGGCGAGGCGGTCACCGCCATGCGCCGGGCGGTCGATGCGGTCCCCGGCGCGCGCTAGACGGGTCAGTCGGGGAAGACGACGCCCATCCGCAGGATGAAACAGCCGAACGGCCGGTCTTCCGAGCAGGCGACCACGGCAAAGGCGTTGCGGGCGTGTGCGTAGAAGGCCTGACGTTCGATGCTGCCCAGCTTCGCCTCCGCCGGCTTGACCGTCTCGAGCACGTCGAACACGTCGCGGTGCACCGGCTCGACCCGATCGGGTTCGCCATCGACCTGCATGCGCAGGGCGCCGTAATCGGTAAAGCCGTCGATCGGCATGTGCTGCGTGATCAGCGCGACCGCTTCGGGCGACGAAAAGCCGGGAAGGCGGATCACGTCGGGCATGACGCAGTGGGCCGCCGTCGAGGCGGCGGGATAGTTGCGGTCCGCGATGACGATCTCGTCGCCATGGCCAAGCCGGATCAGGCAATCCATCAGTTCGGGCGTCATGCGCGGATCGATGTTCTTGAGCATATGCGGTCTCCGGACAGAAAAGGGGCCGCGCAAGGCGGCCCCGGTTCTATGTGCCTCAGCGCGGCGGCAAAGGCATCCAGTCGGTCATCGCCACGTCGGCATGGGCGAATTGCGGCAGCTTGGCCGACAGGTCTTCCATGTTGGAGATGTCGTTCTCGTTGAGGAAGGCCTGCGTGATCAGGGTCGGCGGCACGATCACCTGGGCACCCGGATCTTCGCCCGCCAGCATCATGGCAAGCGCCCGTACGGAGACTTCGCCGACAACGGCCGGGTTGGTCGCCACGGTGGCCTTCCAGGCGCTGCCCGGCTCACGCATCTGGGCGATGTCGGCGGTCGAAACGTCGGCTGAATAGATCGAAACGTCGGAGGACATGCCGGCCTCGTCGACTGCGATCTTCACGCCCTTGGCGAACTCGTTGTAGGGCGCGAAGAAGACCGAGATGTCGGGATTGGCCTGCAGGACCGAGCGCGCCTGGTTGGCGTTCGAGTTGGCGATCGGGTTGTCGAGCGTGCCCATTTGGGCGACTTCCTCAATGCCGGGATTGGCCTCCTTGATCTCTTCCCAGGCGACGTGACGCCGGTCGAGCGGCGCGATGCCGGGCACGTAGACATAGCCGGCCTTCCACTCGTTGCCATTGTCCTCGATCGCCTGTTCCAGTGCCAGCTTGCCGAGCAGATAGTCCGACTGCTCGATCTGCGGGATCGCCTCGTTCTCCACATTGACATCGAAGGCGACGACCTTGATGCCCGCGTCGACGGCCCGCTGGGCTGCTTCCTTCATCGACTCGGTCAGGCCGTGCTGGATGACGATGCCATCGACGCCGAGCGCAATCGCCTGATCGACCATGTCGGCCTGAAGGGCGGCGTCCTGGCGGCTGTCGAAGACGCGCAGGTCCACGCCCAGCGCCTCGGCCTGGGCTTCGACGCCCGACAGATAGGCCTGGAAGAAGTCGCCGGTCGACAGATAGCGCACAAGCGCGATCTTGACGTCGCCGGGATTGTCGAGGGGCGCCGGCATTTCGGCGTTGGCGATGCCGCCGGACAGCAATGTGGCCGATGCGGCGATGCTGGCGACCATCGCCAGTGCCGTTCTGCGAACAATTTTCATGAGGTCTCCTCCTTTTGCAGCTTTGTCTGGCGGCCGGGGCCGTCAGTGGCTTCCGGCCTTTCGCGCCGAAAGCGAGAACGTGAAGACAAGGGCGATCACCAGAACGAAGCCCTTGATGAAGTCCTGGGTGTAGTAGGGCGCATTCATCATCGTCAGCCCCTGCAAGAGGATGCCGACGAAGAGCGCGCCCATCGCGGTGCCGAAGGCGTTCGGCTTGGCGGCGCCAAGCACGGCAAATCCGATCAGCGCGGCGGCGACCGCATCGAGCAGGAGATTGGTGCCCGACGCGATGTCGCCGCGGCCGAGCCGGGCGGCGAGCAGCATGCCGCCGACCGAGGCCAGCGTGCCGGAAATCATGTAGGCCATGATCTTGTAGTTGTTGACATTGGTGCCGGTCAGGCTGGCCGCGCGCTCGTTCGAGCCGATCGCGTACATCAGCCGGCCGTGACGGGTCATCTCGAGGAAGATCCAGACCAGGATGCCGATCACGATCAGGAAGATGACCGACACCGGAATGAGGTCTTCGAGGACAAGGTCGATGCGGTGGCGGCCCATGGCGAGGAAGAAGGGCGAAAAGGTGCCTTCGGCGGTCGATCCGTCCGGCAGCGTCATGCCGGTGGCGATCGAGCGGCCCTCGGTCGGAATGCGCTGGAGGCCGACCAAAAGGAACATCATGCCCAGCGTCGCCAGAAGATCGGGGACCCTGGTCTTGACGATCAAAAGGCCATTGATGAGCCCGATGAAGGCGCCCATGGCAAGGCAGGCAACGATGGTCACGAAGGCCGACTGTTCGAAGATCACCATCATGTAGGCGGCGAGCATCATCGAGGAGGTTGCCACCGAGCCGATCGACAGGTCGAAGCCGCCGACGACAAGCGTGCAGGTCACGCCGAGCGCCAGAATGCCGGTGATGGCAACCGACTGGAAGATGAACACCGCCGAGCGGGGGCCTGCAAAGCCACTCGCAAAGATCGAGAAGAACACGATCAGGCCCAGCAGCAGGCCAAGAAAGCCGTAGCGAATGGAATGATCGACCAGCGTTGCGCGCTTGCGCCTGGGCAGCGCCTCGGTGTTGCTGCCGTCGCCGGTTGTCTGATCGGGAGTGCTGTCCACGCTCATCTCATGCGGCCTGTCGGGACTTGCCGCGCGCATCGGCCGGCGAACCGGTGACCGCTGCGAGAACGGCATTGACGTCTATGTTTTCGTTGCGGAACTCGGCGGCCGCCGCATGGTCGTGGAAGACCACGATCCGGTCGGCGATCTCGAAGGCTTCGTCCAGTTCGGCAACGAGAACAAGCGTTGCCCGGTCGCGCGCGGTCTCGCGGATCTTGCGACCGATGTCGCGCCGGGCGCGTATGTCGACGCCCTGGAAGGGCTCGTCGAGGATCAGAAGGCGGCTGGGCTGGGCCAGCCAGCGCCCCAGCATGACCTTCTGCTGGTTGCCGCCCGACAGCGTGCCGATGCCGTCGGCCTCGGACTGGCAGACGATCGACAGCGCGTCGATCATGTTCTGCGCCGTTCGGCGCTCCTTCCTGCGATCGATGAAGGCGAGCCGCCCGTAGCGCGACAGGAACGGCACCGTCATGTTGCGCGCCAGGTCGAAATCCTGAATGACCGCGTTGCTGGCACGGTCTTTCGGCGACATGAAGACACCGCGGCGGACCGCATCGCCCGGGCTTTTCGGCGCGAACGGTTTGCCATCCAGCGTTATGGTTCCGGCGTACGGCGATGCCATGCCGAAAAGCGCCTGGGCGAGGGCGGTCTTGCCGGAGCCCAAAAGGCCGGTGACGACGACGATCTCATTGTCGCCGAGATCGAGCGAGAAGGCGGGGCTGTTCTCTTTCAGCCGCACATCGCGCAGACTGACGACCGGTTGGCCGGCGGGCGGTATCGTGATGTCCACTTCGGTCATGCGATGGCCGAGCATGGCCTGCACCGCGCCCTCATAGTCGATCTCCGGGCCCTCGAAGACGCCGGAAATCTCGCCGTCGCGCATCGAGACCACGCGGTCGGCGATGCGGCGAATGTCGGACATTCGGTGCGAGATATAGAGGATGGCCACGCCATG